AAAAATAAAATTAAATAATAAAAAATTAAAGTTTAAATTCTTGATAATTTTAAATTTCATTAAAAACTAAAATACATATTATAAAATAATAATATAATAAAAATAACTAAAGATAATAATAATAATAATAATAATAATAATGAAAATGATTTCAAAACTTTTGATAATTTTAAATTTAATAAAATAAGAAAAATAACCAAAAAATAAATAAAACTAATGAAAAAGTGTAAAAAAAGAAATTTTTGTCCAATAATGAAATTCTAAGGTATTATGAATAGCGATACCTATGAAATCTCTAAGTAAGAAGATATTTTTTAAATATTACCAATGTCTTAGAGTATTTATAAAAAATTTTCAATACAATAAAATATTTTTTTAAAAAAATTAACTAAAATTATTAATAAAAATAATAAAAAATGATGGAAAAGAAATTTTCGCCCAATGATGAGATGTTAAGGTTTTTCGAGTAACGATGTCTTAAAAATCTTTAGATAAAAAGATTTTTTTAAAAAATACTACTAGTGTATTGGAGTATTTATAAAAATATTTTTAATAAGATAAAATTTTCTCTTTTTTTCAAAATAATAATAATAATAAAATAAATAATTTTTTAAGGAAAATAAAATGTGTACATCACATTTTTTTGTCATTCGCATTACTTGCATGATTTTTGTTTTTATGAAAAATAAATACAAGCCTCTAAGGATGAGATTCTAAAGTATTTCGAAAAGTGATGCCTAAAAAATCTCTAGATAAGGAAAAGTTCTTTTAATGTTACCAACATATTGAAACATTTTAAAAATTATTTCAATAAAAGAGTTCTAATTTATTTTTTCTTGGATGAAGTTGGAACAATATTTAAAAAAGGAAAAAAAACTAAAATTTCAATAAATCAAGGAAATCAAGGAAACTATTTTTAAACACCAAAACTCAGATCGTTTATATCAAAATCAAAGGATAACATGTAATTAATTGGTATAATTTTAAACAGGTATTATGAGGGAGCTAATCATTTCTCACAATTAACTGACTTTCAAACCCAAACTATTTCGCAGACCCTAAAATTATCTTTTTAATAAATTTTAATTAATTTTAAGATTTTATTAAAATTATATGTTTTAATAGGTGACCAATCACATATAATCAAAAAAAATTAATGACGACTCTATTTTTTTCTTTTCGTTTTTCAAATTCAATAGACAACTCCAAACCGTTACGATTTCACTTGTCACTCCTATTTGACTTTTTCTTATTTTCACCTTTTTATTTTTTAATTAAATAAATTTCACAATAAAAAATAAATAAATAGATATGATAGAACAAAAAAATTGATCCACGTCAACGCGCGGATGATCATGCTAGTCATTTATATAAAAATAAAATTTGAAAAAGGAAGTTACCTATTGAAAACAAATTATTTAATAAATTGAGTGAGTAATTTTTTAAAATTATAGTCAAATCTTTAATGTGATATTTGAATATTAAAAATTTTTAATGTAATACATAAATTATTAATCTGTTAATTAATATGATACTCACTTTTAATATAACTAACTTTAAATAATAACATGTGACGAATAAACAATCATCGGTGTATTATATTGGTTAACAAATTATACATTACGTATCACATTAAAAATTTTTAAAATTCAAATATCACATTTAATATTTTACTATAATTTAAAAATCATTTACTACATTAACTTTTTAAAAAATATATATGTAAATAATTTATATATAAATATGCCTATTTTTATATTATTATTATTATTATTATTATTATTATTATTATTATGTTTTGATCTTTAAGTAATTTAATTGATTGAATTAATGTCATTTGATTCGTAATATCAACTCAGTCTAGAGTTTTAAAAATATTATAAATACAAGATAGGTGAAGTTTTTAAAATTTACAAACTACTTAAAAATATTGTCACGTAAAATTTTTTTAATTATATTAGTTTTTTTAATATATCTTATAAAATGTAAGTGAAAACCCTTTTAATTATGTTGATGGAATTTAAAATTTTTCTCGATGATATATATGAGATACTTTTTTAAGAAAAAAGTCCTAAAAAAAAAAAAGCCATTGCCTTTGTTTTTATTATTATTTGAAATGCACATTAATATACTTGTATATGTATTTATATAGGTATATAATATCATATTTATTTAGCCAACATCTTTACGAGTAATAATTATATGCCTACTTTAGTTATCGAGGATCAGGATACATTAATTTTAATTTAACTATTATCATTATTAACTTCTTTTCATTGAAGTTAAGAAATACGATCCGAATCTAGCTGCACCTAGTTTATAAGGTATGGTTACTTCAAACCCCAATTACCATAAATCGATTTTTATTTTTTTTTATGGATCAATTGTTATAATTAAGTAGGCTGTCTCATCCAATTTCCATTCACCTGTTCCTATCTATCATGAAAACGAAAAAATATGACTCCATCTCAATTGTATGTCTTAATGTGATACACTCCTATAGATATAGAGGGAAGGGATCAAGTTATTAAAAAAAAATTTATACCTTTTTATATTTTATTTTAATCATTGATTTCAATAAATTTAAATGATGAGATTAAACAATTTTTTTATTATTTATCTTATTTATCTATCTTTTGAATTTATTGAAATTAATAATTAAAAAAATATATAAAACTTTTTAAAAAATTTTATATTGATATAAATTGATTTCTCTCCATATATATCTTACATAAATATATAAAAGCGAAAGTCTAAGCCTTTAGCAATAAAAGGTAATTGTATAGTTTAATTTTTTGACATGTAGATAGCTTTAAATAATTGTCACATATCCATTACTTAATGTCGCAAATTTGAGTTAATTTGATTTAATTCTAACCAAATTAATTTTATTTATATTTAATAACTTAAATTTTTCTCTCAATTAATTTTAATTCTTAATTGATTTGATTTTAACCAAATTAATTACATTTACTTTAATAGATTAAATCTCTCTCAGTTAATTTTAATTCTTAATTTAATTTGATTTTAATTAAAGTAATCACATTTATTTTTAATAATTTATATCTTTCTTAATTAATTTATTTACTATATTGTATTTACTTTTCAATACTATAAATATTGTTTAACAAGAGCTCAACCAAAAAAAAAAAAACAATAATACTTAGTCATGCTCATTAAAAGAATTATCCACGTTATTGTTAGCATATGAGTTAAAATTCGTTCTCTCATATCCTCCATTCTTAAAAACAAATCTCAACTAACAGAATTATTTTTGAATTTAATCGTTTTCTTCATATTTTTTATATTTCTAATATAATTTTTTGTTTTAAGATCAATCCTTTCATATATATATATAATTGTTTTTTTGCAATTTGAATATAAGATATTTGAATCTCTGTTTTAATATTTTAATTTTAATTTATATATTAATTAAAGTGCTTAAGGTTTATATTGTGTTCAAAGCAAATATTACATAATTCTAAATTATAAAATTTAAATTGTTCATAAATATAAAAGCTTATTTTATAATTAAAAAAATATATATTTGTATGAACTTATTGATATATAAATATATTTTCGTACATTACACAAATTTAAAATTAATATATAAAAAAATAAGAGTTATACGTAGTTAACGTTGATAAAAAAAATCACATAATTTTGAGTACTCATCCCAAAAATGAAAATATAAAGAAATAATTAAGATTTTGTTTTTTGTATTTTTTAGTTGTTTCGAATGGCCAGATTTCATTGGACAATATAGCATGGTTTCTTAGAGCGAAGTATTGTCAAGGTCATGGGGTTCACATTAGGTTAATTACCCAATTTTTGGTGAGTTTAAGCAGTTTGGTTTGGCAATGTTGTTTGACAAAAATCACCTTACATCTCATCAGACATACGGCAACAGTTGGCTTAATTACCTAATTTTGGTGGGTTTAAGCAGTTTGGTTTGGCAATTATGTTTGACAACAATCACTATACATCTCATCAAACATACGGCTACTCTACTTAATTAACATTAACCACCCCAATATTTCTTTTCTTTTCTTTTCTTTTTTTAAATAATAAAAAATCTCTAATCTTTAATTTATATTGAAATAAATCTTTAAATTTTAATTTATATTTAAATAAAATTTTAACTTTTAACTTATACATAAATAAACTCTTAATTAAAATTATTTTTATTTAAAATAAAATTTTATTTAAATACAAATAACAAATAAAATTTTATTTAAATACAATAAAAATATAAAAATTTATTTAAATAAAATAATAAAATTTATAGATTTTTAATATTTTAATCTGTATTTTATTTCATATAAACCCAATTTAAATCCAAGAGCACATATAAACTTTTAAAGATTTCAAAAAAGATGCAAATGGTTAGTTATTATAAAAATGCTATATTATTATTATATATATAACGACACTTTCATGGTTGATCGTTGATACATGTAATCTTTGGCCCCCAAAACACACACCATTTATCACTACTTGTACTATTTCCAACTTCTTTTTCCCATCCTTAAGTTAAATGCCTTACATTATACATTAATACAACAAATACTCGAGGGACTCCGTCCAAAATCAACAGCCACTTACCAACCGATGCCTCCTCAACCAAATCGGCTGGACTTTTGCTGGCCCCTAGTTATTAATTCAAGCTCTACTGCATCCCTTCCTTCCCTCTACGTGTGTGGCCCTGATCCACCTACTCTACACGTGTCAGAAACCCATATGGGCTATTCTATGACACTTGAACATCTTGCAACTCTTCCCATACTTCATTCCTATAAAATGGTAAAATACCCAAAGTTGCTGGGCTTTTAGCCTTCCCTCTCAAGTCTCTTGCATCTATATATAGGTATAACTGCCGCTCGTCATAATTTCGTAACAACTAAGTATTGAAGTCTGGTGTGCTCCGATCGTATTCTTATCTACCAAGTTAGAACTCCAAAATATACTTATCCCGGTTAGAAAAGCTAGAAACAAGAAGCAAAAAAAAAAAAGAAAAAAAGGGAATCATGGTATGTTTCTGTTTTCTCGTTGATCAGACGAAGAAAGTGAGCAGAAGTAGGCCGGCAGCAGGGTTTTGCTCGCGGTGCGGTGGTGGGGCTAGTGTGGCTGATATGAAAACTTCTACAAGGTTTTGCTTCGTCCCGTTTTACTGGAAATCTTGGAAAGCAATTATATGTACTTTTTGTGGAGCAATTCTTCGATCTTACCGTTGAATTCACCTAGTACTACTACTCTGTATCACGCTTTTGCTTTTTGCAAGGTCTAACAGTAAATTTAGTTGGAGACCATAGCATGCATGATCTCCATTCTTTAATAATTAGTTCAAGGAGTGATTCCCTCCTTTTTCTTTTATATTTATTATAACAAAGCCTTCAATTTTGTATTTTCGCTTCTCTTTTCTCCTTGACTCCTCTGGTACTGGGGGCTTGTTTCTGTAACAGAAGTTCTGTTCCGATTACTTCAATGGAATAATGGAAAAAGAGCCATTGCACAAGTAAATTAAAATTGGATAATACATATAGATCTACTCTATGACGATGTCTACAAATTTTCTTCTGGCATTCTCAGATCAGCTCAAGTATTATTGTTTTCGATTAAAAAAAAAGGGAGGTGGATGACTACTTAAATGAAAAGGACGCGTTTGTTACATATTTATAAAAGTGTATTACGGAAATTAATTTCTAATATAAAAAAAGTTTATATTTAATACATTGTCATGTATAAATTTTATATATTATTAGTAGATGAGACAATGATAATTCATTGATAATGTATCGATGAGTTATAATCATCTTATTTATTAATAGTGTATAAAATCTATACACGAATAGTATATCAAATATAAACTCTAACAAATAAGTTTATGTTATTGTACAATTGATGTAAAAGGTTTTATACATGTTTGTAAATCAGACAATTCTTGTCATCATATTATTTTCCTATCATATACGATTTCAAATATGACACGAATATTTAAATGACATGAATAACTTAAATTAAAACATAAAACGTTTATTATACGAGTTACACGAGATATGATATGATTAATATATTTAAAATTAATTTTTTTAACACAACCTAAATAATACGACATAACACAACATAATTAACACGATTAAACACAATTAATCTATTTATTTAAACAAAAAAATCATTTAAATTAGTATTTAAACAAAAACTTACTTAAAAATTAAATATTTATAATCTATTTAAATACCGAAATGAGATAACTTATTCTAGCATGATAAGAACCTAATACCATGTCAACACACATGCAGATCTCGTGCCTATAACGTTAAGGCACAATTCAAATGTTAGCTTGTAACCAACCAAGAGCCATATCAAGCTCAAAGTACCATAATGAAGGTCATACCTTGCAACCATGTCCCATTACCTCACATAGGCTGTTCAAATCTATGATGGACACCCAACATCATACTCGTATCTCATCGAGTATATGAGTGTACTACTTTAGCTATAACACATTACCATGCATGCTATCTATAAGCCACAAAGGTCTAGCAACTTACTTGTCTGCTAATCCACTCATCCCTTAGGCTCGTTGATGCCTTTTTTATGTAAGAACGAATTCATGATCCTTGGTTACTCATTAACCAACTTAAGAAAGGAAACTAAAGGACATAGTGAATGCTATGACACAACCTCACAATTTAACATAGTAGTGCAATACGAGGCCCATCAGCCCTAACCAATTCCAAGTTTATCATATCCCAAGGAAACACCATGCTTCACTCATGTCCCTACAATGTTTGCTTACCTAGACACCAAATATGTCTAGGAATAGCTCACTTTAGACTAGTAGGCCCTCACATGCTTACTAATCAGAGGGATGGTGGAAAGCTGAAATTAAATATCTCTTTATAAAGAGTGTAAGAGCTTTTAGAGCTATGCCACCAAGAATCATGAAAATGTCTAAAATAAGAACACTTTTATCCCAAGCCAATCCTAGGCCAACACCAACTAATTCAAGGCACAATGATCTCCCTTTTGATCCTACTGATGATAGAATCTACCTCATTGCTTCACCAACCCATTTAAAGATGCCTGCACAAAGCTCACCCCAAAACATCCGACTAAGCTTTTAAGCTCTAGGGTGACTACACATCCATCTGACTTAGGACTCATACTACCTACCCATGGATCCGAGATAACCATCTCATGACTAGGTCTCGTATGCTACTCCATATCGAGGTCGTCATAACAACACCAAAGCCTAACCATGACATCCTCCCTAACATACTATGTTGATGTTCTCATCAACACCAAGACCACACTCAAGCTCCCTCGTTATACAGAGTTGACATTTTTTAACATGTCTATCTTATGTACCCTTAAGAATAAGGTCGCAATCCCATCAAATAAGGTACCCACATAATATTCATTCATTGCTGTTGTTGATGGGTTTCATCTTAACTTCATGGCATCTCATATGCTAGTTCACCCTCAAAACACCAAACTCAATCTTAATTTGTCATTGCTCAAATTCTTTAATAATCATAAGTCTTAATCCATACTATGACTCTTAGTGAAATGAATAGCCTCTCCCATTACTATGTCATAGTTATGCGTCACACTAAACTTGGCCCATCACTCCAACCATACGCCTACAACATCAACTTTTGATACTCCTCTTTGGACAGAGTGCTTAAGCCAACCACACTCATGCCTCATCACCCACATTGGACCCTAGCATGTTGACATTCAAACATTTTGGTTATCTTTCAACTTAGGTCCTTTCAGCCTCTACCAAGTTACCTTTTTGGGTGTGGCCCTTTAGACAACCTTTACTTATAGCTAAACTAACTCGTTGCCATCTTGATCTTGTAACTCATTACATTATACTCAAACTTGATGTAGTCTCATCCACTTATTAGGCTCAATTTCATACTCAATCATCAGCCCATTGTTTCTCATACTCAAGTGCTCTTTTATTTTTACTTAAGCTTGATTTTGTGCACAACCATGTCTTTATTGTGGTCACACTTACTCGGTTAAAGCTTGCATCTATTTTTTATCTCTATGAACTCAACTTCTATTCAACTTTTTCATAACATAAGATAAGGGCATTTCATAAAATCGCTTAGTGTTAAGGATCTACTAATCGATAAAACTCTAGGTCCTCTGACTTACTCAAAACTCAAAGGTTTACCAATTACAATTACTCAAGAAGTTTGCTGACCTACTTGAACTCATGGTTGTTCCCATAGACCAACCCATTGATCCCTTAGAATTTATGGCTATTTCCATAAGCCAACATCTACTTAAAGTGTCCACATACTTGGCTCAATCTTTATTAGCTTTATCCATTTCTTGCTCATCTAGTCTAGTCCATTAACCAAATCAAACTCATAACGCCATATCTATTGGCTCACTCTAGCTTAATCAATTTTTTAACCAACAAAATTCATGGTCTATAGATCGACACAATCTGTAGGTCACTTACCAACATAAAATCATATGGCCTTTTCCATTGGCACACTGGTTTAGTCCTTTAATGATCTCAAGCACATATGCCTTTACAGAAGAACATTTTGTTTGAAGCTCAAACAATAATCCCATGCCCTTATTATGACTCTTGCTACACATAACAAGTGCATAAGTTAGTAATATCAACTAGATTAACTCAGCCTGTGTCTTTTAATATAATTTTCAATCTAGGCCACATGACCTATCTCATCACGATTTTTTGGTGCACCCCATATTGCATTTATAACTTATAAATCAATAAATCCAATAGGCATTGAATGCCCGCACAACCAAGACTATTTTTAGGTGAGGCTAGACTTTCATGCCTTTTCACTTGACATCCAAAAGCTTACTTTAGGCCATTCTAAATCTAGGTTAATTTTCTCACAGCTCACATCAATCGTTCATTTGCAAGCCCTCATAATTACAATATCGCACATTCACATTAATAATCATTATCGAGCTAGTAACTTTTCATTTTTCACATCTATATAGCCACTTGATTTTTCATCCTTGCCAAAAAGATGACCCTAATTTTGCTCTAATACCACTTATTACGAACCATAAACTCTTTATGCTAAATCCATAAGACCATGTAATAACAAGACTACTCTTAATTGATATCAACATTTTGCAAGTTCTTTTTTCATATAGACAACACAATCCATGTATAGCATGATAGCTTATCATGGCTTTGACCCTACAAGGTCGCTTACACATTTCAATACTCATCAAAAAAAGACACCCAACTCCCACCATTAACCAACATTTATTTTTGAAAGGTCTAGAGCACCTAACCAAGGCTAGCTAAGCATCAAGTCCTTGAGCACTGACCCTTTTAGATACTTATATAGTTTCACCACCCTAATTCCTATTAAGTTAACGCATCCCATCATGATGAGAACCCAATACCATTCCAACAAGCATTTTACGCAACTCTCGTGCCTAAAACCTTAAGGCACAACTTAAATATTGGCCTGTAACCAGCTAAAAGCCACATCGAGCTCAAAGTACCACACACAAAGGTCATAACTTGGTATCGAGGCTACCTGTATGCACGACAAGCTCAAAATGCCTTAACTATAACACACTCCCACACATGCTATTGAGAAGTCATAAGGGTCTAACAGTTTGCTTACCTATTAGCTCACTTATCCTTCAAGCTCATTTATGCCCCTCATATGTAAGCACCAACTTATTATTTTTTTGGTTACTCATTAGTTGACTTATGGAAGAAAAATCGAGGGGCATAATGAATGTTTTGACACAATCCCACAAATTAAAGTACTAATAGGACACGAGGCCCATCGACCTCAAATGTCTCATAGGTTACCATGTTTAGAAGAGACAACATGCCACATTCATTATCCTACAATACCCGTCCATTTAAACATCACATATGCCTAGAAGTAGCTCATTTCAAAATAGCAAGCTCCCACCTGCTTGCTAGTTAAAGAGACGGTGGAGAGTTGACACCGAATGTTTCTATATAAAGAGCATAAGAGCTTTTAGAGTTACGCCACCAAAAATCATAAGAATATTTTAAATGGGAACATTTTCTCTCCAAGCCAATCTAAGGCTAACTCCAACCAATTCAAGGCACAATGATATTCGTTTTAATTTCACTAATGCTAAAATCTATCTTGTTGTTCACCAACCCACTAAAAAATATATGCATAAAGCTCACCTTATAGCACTTCACCAAGCTCTCAAGTTTCAAAGTGACCTTAGGTCTATTTGGCTCATGTTGTATGCGTGCCTATTAAACTGATATCATCATCCCATAAACTAGATCTCATTTGTTACTTCGGATTGGAGTAGTCATTACAACACTAAAACACACTAAGATCTAACCATAACAATCATGATGAAATGAAAAATCTCTCATCATGCATTCAAATCAAATCAAATCATTAATAATGCAAAGTTTTTATCAAAAGGCAAAACCATGCCAATGTGTGATTGAAACTGGTCTATATAAAAGTGAAATCAGGAGCTATTATGTGTAAATTTGTCAAATACCTTCAGCATCTAATTTATACATATTTAAAATGACTTCACCAATTTATGGTTTAGATGTTTTTAATTTTTTGTTGCAAATTTAAAATAATACTATCTAATTTGTAGAAAAAAAAAAAACTAAACCATTATTTAGCAGCACGT